TAGGCTCATCACGTGAGCAGTGAGTATAGCTAGCCGAGGTAACTGAAAGCTGCTCTTTCAGCGGCAGAATCTTGATGTTCCTCCGACCGCCCGCGCATGATCTGAACAATAACTAACTAGAGCGGAAAGAATTGGAAAGAGGGCTGTTTACAATAAAGCATAGGTCTTAGGTCGGGTGGAGGTGCTGGTATTAGTGTTCGGTGTTTGCGTCACGAAGATGAGTAATGCTGCTTGGCCAAGTTACACTAAGCCTATAATGGCAGCTTTTGGAGTACGGCCCGCACTAGTTAAGTGAGGAACACCAACATTCTGGCAGATCACCGCAACGAGAACTTAAACCAACACAGCGTAATACGCAGCGGTTGCATCGTAATACAAATTTGCAGAGCTCAAGAACCAAATGTAATTAGATATACAAAAAAGCGCAATAATCGCAGTAGGTTTCGTGGCAATACGCGCTCATGAACGCGTTGCAGAGTGGGCTCGATATTTGATGTTCCTCGTCAAGGCACTAGCACGGATATACATCGGATTACCCTTTCAGGGTAGATATCGGGTGGGGGTGTGCAAACAAGAGATGGGGGTGTGCAAAAAGTAGAAGCCTTATAGATACTGTTATGCAGAGACTGTTGGAATATTGTGCCTTATATCTTGTAATTTGGGTTGTGAAATGAGATGGCTGGATGACTGGTGTGGCAAGGTGAGTGGTGAAACACGTTTGCGCAAAGGATAGTAGCTAGATGGTTTAGCGCTAGCGCTATTATCACTTAGCGCCGAGCGCTTGTTTTACCGCACCAGGCCTTCATCTCCACCTTCGCTTTTCCATTTCACTTCCATCATCACCCACCCTTACTTCATCATCCGTGCCCACTCTTCGACTCACAGTTCCGTGCACAGCCCAATACCTGGTGCTGGTCGGTCTACACACTCCTTCACTCCGCTCGTACGCATCTCCCGTTTCCTTGCGGCCGCAGCCACGGCTAGGCGCTGCGAACTGCCCCACGTAGCCTGTATAGGTGGTGGTTCAGGCTTCGTCGCTGCGAACTTCCCCCAGGCTGCCTGCCGTGGTGGTTCAGGTGCCAGTGCCGTCCGGTCTTCTGCCTGTGGACAACGTTTGATGTGGGCGTGTTATCCGTTCGAGCCAAGGCTGCTCTCGCACCTCCGCGTCAAAGCCTGGGTGGGAGGGTTCCTGCGGCCACCGCCCAGGGGATTTCTCGTTTCATCAATCTTCTGACGGTCTACGACCCTCGGCTAATTCGTAGCAGCAGCAGCAGCAGCAGCAGCCTGACCCGAGCCCCTATGGTGTCCGCCTTAGACCTTGTCCACCCTCGTCGTTGTGTCAACGAACGCGTCCTGGCCGCATGGTCCGATCGAGAAACGGGCCAACAAATCACCCTGGGGTCGCTATCTCTGTTGAACAAAGAATCCAGCTTCGCTCTAGAGTGTGCGCATGATGACGGCTGCAAACATGCGATGATTCGTTTCTCTCTTGCTGTCAAGCTGCGACTGGCCGGTCACTCGCGCAGCAAAGACGTCTCCCTCGAAATCCTGCCTAGCTCATCCCCGGAAATACAAGTCGATACATGCAAGATTCAGGATGTGGGTGCAGTGGCGTCTGCCGCCCATGACGCTGGCCTTTCGGATTCAGGAATGATCATCCGCGCCCACTTTACCCTCGAGCGCCCGGGACGGCTGCTCATGCCGGAACTTAAGACAACGGCGAAGCCGTCATCACGCACAGCTCGTGATCTTCTGCAGAATATCACCTCACTGTCCAAGGCTCTGAGCTTTTTTGTTTACCTGCGACCCAGCGATTATGCGCGTGAAGGGTTAAGGCTGGTCAGCAACACCCTGCGCTCTGCAGTGCCCGGCAAAGAAAATTTTCCCCAGGACGCGCTTGGTGAGTCTGGGCACCAGGTAACCGAGCCTCCGCCCCAGTACAGAGCCCACATGACCGTCATCCCAAGGAGCCCCAGCCAGTGCGCCACCACGCCTTTACCGGAAAGTCTCCTATCTGTGCTCTCGCCTAATACAGTGCCGCAAACGCCACCCTTTCGGAACCCGGGGCCAGCAGCTCCATCTGCTGGAGATCCAACAGAGGACCGTCTACGGGCGCATCTCACGGTGGAGCTTGGCCTGTGGTTGGGTCGGGCAGTCGCGGTTAATCTTATCGCCTACCAAGACGAACGCATCAACCCGCTACGAACGGAGATGGGTCGCCACGCGCGGGCGGGCGACGAAGTAGCTTTTTGGGACGCGCGCGCTCGTTGTTCGGCCGCCTTCTTCCTCTGCCACGGCCCTGCTGGCCGCGAGAATGTTGACGACTTCTTCCAGACGGCCTTGGCGGATGCTTTTCTGCGCGACTTGACTCGGCTTATCGCGTGGGTCTTAGAGCAGGATCGTCGCGCTGACTTGACCATGTGGGATGAGTTGATGACGCTAGGCGAGGCAGCGCGTGCGAGTGACTTAAACAGATATCATCACATCAAGGGTATGATTATCGGCTGCGTGACTGTGCAGTGCGATCCCGAGCAAATGTAGAGTTTGAACGATATTACGACTACGTAACCTCATGATATCCTGAGGTTCTTAGGATTTCCAATTTCATGACCTGCAACTGTCGCCAACTCTTAATGTCTCCGGAAGCGTAGGCGTGCTCAAAATTCGTTCAGGCTGTCGTGGGAGGCCATATAGTCCAAAGCTTTGACTCGTCTTTGAGTGTGTTGACATCGAGCCCATCATCGTAACTCAGCTTCGTAACGGTGTACTTCAGTTGCTTACTTTGAACGTCCATATAACGGGAGGCCCCTTCTATTGAGCTTTGAAGCCTAATTCCCATTCTCTCTGCTCAGAGATAACATACGGCAGGTCGATAAGATCGTTCCAAGCTGGCTAC